GACCCTTCGAGGACTAGCCGAAGTTCGCCACGAGACACGATTCTCTTCCCAACTAAAAAACTCCTTCTCGCATCCCTTCCGAGAATTTCGGTGGAAACGAATCGAATGAAAGGTACGCTGTTCTGTTCCGAGAAACGGAAACCTACTTTCCCGGAGTCTACGCTTTGCGCCAGTTATCCAGGTCGAAGCACCCGGTCTAATATTTAAACTGCAGAGCAATAAAATTACTTCGCCGCAATTTATGGGGGTTCCACGACCGCCAAGAGTCACAGGGAAGTAGCGTCAAAGAAAAATCGCATTGAAAATGCAAGGACCGGAGCGAAAAAGAGTCTTCCCTCGAGGGAGACGATTTTTCCCCGGTTCCACCCTCCTTTCCAGGCTCCCTCGCGGGCGTGGGTGTTCCGGGATGGGCCGACAGTACGAAGAACAAAGGATGGGCTCACGGTCGGTTAATTTAATCTAAGCAAACATCATATAGATGGTACGTGAACGTGTTCCGCAGGGCAGCAGGAAGACTGAAGAGGGTGGAACTCGCTGGAAGACAGAGAGGGTGGCGCGGCGTCGGGCAGAGAGGACCGACGGTAGCGCGGGAGAGGCGGGGGGAAGGATACGGCTGTGCAGACTGTGAATCTAGATACATACGTAACTACAAGAGTATTCAAGACGGAGCTGAGAAACGATGTTTAGCATGTAGATGAAGATCTTGGTAATCAAGGGCTCCAGCCCCCCGGGCACACTTCGTCAAGTCTTACTTATTTCTGGCCGTCCTCGTGCGATCCGCGAACCGTCACGGTGCTTCCCGAACCCATCCGCCAACCCTTTCGGCTCGTACGAGACGGCGAGGCAGATTTTTACGGGGTGGAAATTCGCCGTTGCGTCCCCCGAAAATTATATTCGCGTGTATTATTCAGGACAGGGACGCGGAAAACGTCGATTCGAAGCATCTTCCAGCCTGTGGAAGACGAGAGTGAACATTTAAAAGCGAACGCGACGAACGATCGCGCTTCGAGCTGTCAAAATTCGCGGGAGCTTCGGTTTCGATTTTTCCAAACCGCCAAGGTCCTCCAATTATTTTCCAACCCTTCTGCCACCGATCCTCCAGGTCTCGGCTACCGGAAAAATTGTTGAAACCGGCATCGAGCGAACCAAGACCGTCCTCCCGCCCCGAATCATCGACGTAAGCGCGAACGAGCATTCGCGGCGCATATCGGGGCACAGGAAACGAAGCGCGAGCCGAAGAAGCGACGCGATTAAAACGACCGAGCGAATATAAAGTAGGTGGAATTTCAAAGCGAGCCATTATCGAGTTACCGTTACTTGGCCGGCGCGATTTATTCGGAAAGCGGCGGTAACGAAGCCGAGCCGATCCCTTCCCGGCGAATATCTCGAACCAGAGCCGTATCTCGTTCGAAATGATCGGGTCTCGTTGTCCGAAAATTCACCCCGTAATCGACGGACAAAAAGTAATTTCCCATCGAGGCCGGGACAAAGGGTGATTTTGCATGGGGGGCTGTGCCGGCGATAGCCACGGGGGTGGCAGTGACCGGTGCGTGTAACGACCAACTCAACCCTTCGATCTCTCTCCCTCTCTCTTTGCCTCTTTCTCTCTCTCTCTCTCCCTCTCCCTCGTCCTCTCGCTGGACCACCCTTCGGGCCACCCTTCGACCCTACCCAAAGCCGGACGAGCGTTTACGGTGAACGCCACGTGCGCTCTATGCGTGGAAAAGGTGCACAAGAGGGAAAAGAGGGTTGTTCGCGCGTGTTGCGTTCGATCCGAGCGGTATGTGGGGCTCTGGGGCATTTTTCGTTCGCGTTTTTACACCCCCGCGCGCCCCATTGCCCGCCGCCCGCCGCTCCCAATCTGGTTAGACATTCGTCGACTCGCGAACCACCGCGCCACGCCGCGCCGCGCGGAATTCGGTGAAGAGGGTTTCAATTTCAAGTAGGCTTTCAACGAGTGCGATTTCCTCACTTCCGCCCTCCCGTAGAGCTTGTAAGCCGTGCTACAAGGCACGCCCGTGCTCCGACGATCAATTTTTAGGCAGATCGTCGCGCGAACGTATAAATCGTTCGTTAGCGTATAAATCGGAATAAAATTGTCTACGATGTTTCGCTGCTGGTTCTATCGAGGCCCCGGCAAATTATTTCGCTGCAGACGCCGCGGAGAATCGTCTGAAATATTTTTAATCAACGCGAAATAATTTTCTTCGCGTCTCACAATGGAGAATTCGATCGAAGCGAGCGAGAAAAAGGTTCTGAAAAAATACTTACTGCACGATGATCCCGAACAATAATCCCGGCGATCGGTCCTTTGTCCCAGGACAAGCTCCCGGCGCGCATTATCCGCGGCAGGAAGCGCGCTTTTTCTCGCGGGACTGGAACAATAAGCCGGCAGGTACGGCGCCCGATTGAAATGCACATTGTTCGCGTGGGCGTGACGCTCGGAGGGGTGTTCTTCGCGCGGAAGAAAAGGCCACGGAAGCCCAAGAAAAATCGCGACCGCGGTGCCGGCCGGCTGACACGGCTGAATTTACCGGCAATTGGTAATGCGGCTCGACTGCAGAACAATAAATCGGTATGGGCAACTGGTCGAGCCAACGAGCCGTGTCCCTCGTTCGCGCAACGAGTCCTCGCAACCGAACCCTCTCTCTCTCTCTCTCTCTCTCTCTCTCTCTCTCTCTCTCTCTCTCGCTCTCCTCTCGCCGTCTCTCCCTCCGATTCTCTCCCTCCGGCGGAGAGACACCGCAGAGAGGGAAGAAGAATGGATCGGCGCGGGGGAACGAGTGAGAGAAAAGCCCCCGGAACGACGGTTTAGGGAGGGATGAAAAGCCGGGGGCGGAGGGGACGCGTAGGAGACTATCCCCCGACGTTCACCGCACGCTATTCTTCATACTCCATTATCCGTGCTCCGCTCCACTCTGCTCCATTATGCTGGCACCGCGTATAAACGACGAGCCGCGCCGTTTCGAGCCACCGTGATGTCCATCAGGCTGCTACCTTCGCGAAACACCGATAAACACCGCTCTCTGCGGCCAGTTTGCGCGCGACACGCGGCAGAAACGCGTTCTTTTTAGCGGCCGCGCCGCGCCGCGCCGTCGACGAACAAGCCCGAGGGTGCCGGACAAGCCCGACGGCCGAGCCGGGGAACAGCCGGAGGGGATGAAAGAATTCCGCGAGCCGAGCGGTGGATCCGCAGGCGGATTTTTGGGGGTGGTTTCCGTGGCAGACGCGCCGGAATTTCGGACACTGTTTGCGAGTTCTTCGAACGAGAACGAGGGATGTCTAGATATGCTGCTTAGAACGTTGGGAATGGTGGTTGAATTTGTTGCGACGCGTCGGGGGTTGTTGTTTCCTCGCATTTTGTCAAATCATTATCGTCCCGATGCTTCTGATTTCGAATTGTATCGAGGGTATTTTTACTTTAAAGGAATTTTCTTTTTGTAGTAGCAGTCGCGGGGGTGGCTTTTCCGGTAAAAGTCGTGGAACTTGGGGCGCTGTTTCAGAGAATTTGAACAGCATGGAACGGTAGCGTCAAACCTATTTAGATTGCTATATTTTTGCTCGATAGAATTCCAGTATCTTTCTAGAACAACTATTGTTCAATTAAATATTGACCAGATTTGTCCCAAGCTATGGATTTAAACAACGTTCAAATCCACTCTTTAATTTAACTATTTCTACTGCATCTATTAAAGTCCATGATTATTTGGTGCATTCGTAGAACGCGTGAAACGAAGTTCAATGTGCAAGAAAACACGCGTATTGCGGGGAATGACAACTTTCAGCGTGTCCGTTAGAACGGCGATCGATCGGCTAAATTTTCCTTCGCGGAATTTCGCGATAGATCGACGAACGTGGCGATTCGCGGACCATTCGGCACGCACAGGGCGCTTTAAAGTTTAATCACGAGGATCGCTAATATTCCGAGCGACCGCTCCGAAACGCTAAATTCGGGACGTGTATTCGTTAGCGGGTCCGCATAGGGCGCGGTTCGAGCCAGAAGCAACCTGCCAGAGAGAGGAGAGTCTTCTCTCGGGGTCTACGTTTAATTAAATCTTTTGCGAATTTACATACACGCAGCTCCGTTGGGCGAGGATCCTTTGGAAGCGGAGAGAGAGAGAGGGAGAGAGAGAGAGAGAGAGAGAGAGAGAGAGAAAGAGAGAGCGCGCAGAGCGGCGCGGAACAGCGGCTTTTGGGGGGGAACAGCTTTGTAGAGATTCGTCTCGTTACCTGTGTAACCCTTTACCTGATGGAAACGTCATTAAGAAGACCGATCTTATGTATTTTTTTGCAGCGGTCGGGCCGGGCCGGGCTATCGTCGACCCTTGTTCCACGCCGCCGTCCACGGTGGGGGACCGAAGTTTGAACTACGAAGAAGCGTAAAGCGATTAACCCTTTGCTCGCAGGACTTTCGACGGTGACGCTCTTAAAAAACACGTCTGGACGCTCGATCTCTTCGTTTTGTATAGCTGGAAAATACTGGACGTCCCGGACGCCTCGTTGCCCGGCTGCCTTCGTTCGAAAACAGAACTTTGCAGCACGCTTTTTATCCTTTTTCGTTCGGGGACAGTGTCTTTTAGATCTCTTAGTTCTGCAACGAACAAACGCTAGCTTGCTCGAGAAACTGAAAAGCTGGAGGAGAAAGAAAACGGTGGAGATAATTAGTAGCGAAACCATAAATAAAAATCCAGCAAGTAATAAAAAAAAAAACAAGGATACCAAAACGCGCAACGCTGACTTACGATCATGGAAGCCGTCGAGGTTGACCTGGAACAGGCAGAAGCAAGAAGCAAATTAAGAAAACGAGGACCAAAATGAAAATAACGAATCGAAGAACGCTGGTTCGAGCGAACAGTCGAAAATAATGGTCGCGATATCGAACGAGCGCAAAGAGGAATTAAACGGCGGGGAATAGGCGAAAGTAATCGATAGAGAGAAAAAAATGGGAAAAAGTGGAGCCGGTGTGAGTGGAGCGACGAGAAACAGCGACACGTCGTCGATCATATTTTGAAATACACTTTTATTTCGACTCGGTCAAAAACTACGATAACAATAGGTTGGTAGATATGTATATCGGAAATCATTCTTGGGGGGGGGAAAATGCGGAGTGTTCGTCGTCGACGCGACCGAGGGGGTGAGGGGCAGAAAAAAAAACGAATAAATCGTCGTCGACGCGTTGAACGAGCCACGGCCTCTCGGTCGGACACCGTGGCCCGCGAGCTTCGGTTTGTTCGGCTTTTTTTCGGTTTTCGTATCCACGGGAAATTTCGATGTGAAAGCGTTCCGCGGCGCCGCGGAATTTGTCTTCGTTGAATCGCAAGAAGCTTCTCCCTTCCTTCGCGCACCAGATTCGACACCGTCCTCCGTCTCGATCGTCGACTCGGCCCGAGCCTGGTCCACCGTCGCCCCGACCTCGCCTCGAGTAATATCTCCGCGCGTCGCGTGTCCCGCGAGAACCGCGACGCGAACCACGCTCGGACGATTATTGCACGAGCCCGCGGTCAAATCGATCGCTTTATACTATGAAAACATAATCGCAAGGAGTAGAAAGTGCGTGCGGCGGTTCGCGGGCGGCTGCTCGAGCTCCGAAAACTGCTACCCACGTTTTTACCCAGCTAGAAATTTCATTCGAAGCTCTGTTTTCCAAAAAGCTGCCGGCTTAGATCGACACGCGACAGAGCAGAGAAATCGTCGCGAAATCAAAAGCAGACTTTACAAGACAAATTAGTACTTTCGTAGCGGTCCTGCTGGATCGGCGATGTCAATTAGAAAGCCGGCGAAACGTCGAAGCTACCAAAAAATATCGTCGTACCGATCTACGACGAAAAAAGATCGCGGCAGGTTTCTTCTCGGACCGGCCACCGTAAAGTGAAATTTTCCTAAACAATTCACCGAATCGTCACGATCGATGAACGAACGATCCTCTTACCAATTACTCAACAAGCGAGAAAAATGATTAAATCACAAAGCTCGTCCGCGGATGCCGGTCGCAGCTCTCAAGGCCTCGTCCAGCCAGCCGAGAGCCAGCCGACGCACCAGTTCACTCGACTTCGCGTAGTCCGCCGACAGTGATGAATGACTCGATGAAACGACAATGCTCTATCTATGTACAGTGTTATATACATCATCATCATCGTCACCATCACGGGGGTCGCGGTGTACGCCTGTTCACTCACACCGTATTGCACTCATTGTCAGCACCCGTTCGCCCATTTTCTCTCGCTCTCGCACTCTATCTCACGCGCACTTAATTACAAATTCAGCCCGGTCTAGAAGATTCGTTGAGACACAACCAGTGGAAAAAAAGGATCGTCGTCGACCGGCTTTACGCTTTTCGAACGCGCACCAGACTCTGTGTTCGTTTTCAATGTGTCGCGTGTTTCTTCTCCATCTCTCTACCCTTTCTCTTTCTCTCTCTCTCTCTCTTTCTCTCTTTTATCTTCTCCTCTCTCCCCCTTTGTATGTGTGTGCTTGTTTGTGTCTGTCTGTCGGTCTATCGTTTCGTAATGCCCACTAATAGCTAGTTTTGCGCCCGGTGGTTCGAGCCAACGCGTCCCCACAAAATCACAGTGTTGCCGATCGATGATAAGAACGTCAATTCGGACCTAGGATACCCTACAGATGGGGCTCGTTCGACGAAATCCCGGCCTCTTGGTATCAGTAGGGCCTCCAGACGTTGTTGTCCGGCCTGACCTCCTCCTGTCTCACGCTGCAACTGTCCGCCACCGCTCTCTGTTCCGGGCTCTCCGAGTTCTGGAACTGGTTACCGTACAGCTGCGAGTAGAGGATGCTGGGCAGCACACCAGGCGTCGGGAAGTAGTTGCCGTAGTTCTGACCGAAACCCTGCTCCTCGTGCACAGGACTCTCCGTGGTGCTCGAGTCCGTCGACAACGACCGAGGGGACACGTAGTCCTGGTACCTCTGGGTGGTCGTGCCGGACATCAGGCTGCTCAGCGGGTCCAGCGGGTCCGACTGACCCGTCGTCGTCGAGTCTGGCACCACTGCGATCGCAACAAACAAAAATACCTTTCGTTTTCAGGTATCTAAGAATCGATTTCGCGAGTAATTCGTTCTCGACGCGGAGGCAGGGATGCTGTTTTATGAATGTCGTTGCAAATTAAGGTGATCGGAGGGACAGCGCGATAACAATGGGGCGAGAAGGTGACGGAAATTGTATAAAGAAGTATTGAGAATGATTGTTATTCGTAAAATCTGTGACAGATGAGCGCGAACGTACGAAATTAACGTTAGAGGTGGTCGAAGATCGTTGCGATCAAAGTAGGGTCGCTTTACGATTTTTTTTCTACCCGACCAGATGACCGACAATTTTTTAAACAAATGCATTTTGTAGCCCAGGCTTCGCGGAACACTGCACTATTTTTTATTTCATCGTACGTCCTCGTATCCATATCCAATCGCCCGACCAAAGGAAATGTTACCACTTAAAACCCATTAATCCTTTACTCGCAATCCCAGCTATTTTTATAAACAATACCGACACGAACCATCGAGTGTGTCGCGAATAATGACGATCGGTAGCAAAACATTCCCAGAAACAACGTTAATTTTAAACAATGACCATCCAAAAAGATGAAAACTCGAATTAAGATTAGCAAAAGTTTAAACAATTATTGCTCGGAAGTTACGAGGTTGCTTTTAATTAGACAAACGCTATTGGATACTTCGAAGGTTCCTCTAAGAGACGCCGTTGGTTCCATGTCGCTGCGACTCGTAGTTGCCGAGATATCGTCGCGCGAAGAACGTCAAAATTTTTCATATTTCTTTTATCTCTGTCCTTGTCGCGCCCTCGGATCTCTCTCGTTCTCTCTCTCGCACTTGCCCGCACTGACCTGCCCGAACCTCCCGCCACGTGCGCGGGTCAGTGACAGACGCTACGTCATAGTTTTTACTATTACCGTCTAGCGTACGCATTTCCAAGAATTCGAGCCCATTCATCCCCCAGCCCTATGTATTTTAAATGCGACATTTCGGCACTCGTATCTCGGGAACCACTTGCGATAGCGACGTGGAACAAAAGCCATTGGCCAGAGGACGCTCTCCTCTATCAGCTGGCTATATTTCATCGTCGATTTTGCAACCGTTTAGCCCGTATTTTGCAACGAACATTCGACTTACTGTGGACTTACTATCGACTTTATTTAATTTCAGGGTGGTTACATGTTCTCCAACTAAAAAGAAATAATCAAATAGTAAATAAAATTGTTTTCTAATCGTAGAAACTATTTTATGGTATTTGCGTGGTCCCGTTTGTTATTCTGCGTCTCAACGTATTTCCCTAACAGCTAGGGAAGAGGGCTGTTAGGGATTAGAAGCTTTCACCCAGCTCTTTCGAACGCGAAACAAAATGCTGTCGGAAAATCTGATTTCGCGGGGTACGAGACCGATGGCATGGGCTCGGCCAGAGCGGGATAAAGTTGAAACGGATATCCCGTGGCCCGCGGGCGCGGCGGGTCGCGGCCGTCTAACGAACCAATTACAGGGGTGGAACGACGAAAGTGATGAGACTTACGGGAAGATACCGCTGAGAACGCATCCTGCTGCGCCGTGGATCCCGCACCGGTGCCGGAAGTAACGGTGGAGCCCGCTGTCGAATCGGGCGCCGTCGGCGTGTTCATGGATGCGGTGCCCGCGAAAGACGCCAACGAGGACGACGGCGGCGGTGGCGGCGGTGGAGGCGGCGGCGGGGGTGGGAACGACGCCTGTGCCGCGCACGACGACAAAGGCCCGGGAAGATAACCAGCGTAACCAGCCGTGCTTCCGTATCCCCATGAATTGCTCGCAGTCAGACCGAACTGGGACATGTCTGAAGAGATCGGGCTCGTTCGTGTATCATAGTATCGCGTGCCTCGGTTATTTATTCCCCACCCACAGCACTCGTCGGACCAATTATTCAGACCGTCTAGCAACAACAATTATTCGGAACCCCGGACGAAAAGAATTATTCAGACGCTCGGGCAACAATGACGATTGGCAAGATCGGGTAAAAATAATTATAAGGGATGAAAGAAAAATGTGTTGGACCGCCTACAAGAGTACAGTTTAATATATTGCAGAGGGACGTAATAATATTTATTACAGAGAGACGCTGCATAGTTTCATTTGTTCTTCGAGTGATCATTCTATTTGTACCACATTTATGCGATGCAGATCAGAGGGAACGGTTTCCGAAGGATTTCATTCAACCCTCGCAAAGCGATGCTTGTGCCAATGTTCATCCAGAGTATTTAAATCGTTCGATCGCTCGCACAATTTTCGGCAGTTGAATAAAATAAATTGCTGTTACATCGGGAACAACAGAAATATCTTCAAGAATACGTTTTGCAAAATAAAGCACAGAATCGTTGCGAACATGGTACAGTTACGAAAACGGTCCGCCGTTCCGAGGGTCGAAGGAAGAACATGGACGACGTTAAAATGATCGTAAGGTGAAGGGAATGAAATAAGAGTCGTGCTTCGTTGATCAGCGAACTTCTGCCTTGGCAACGCGGATTCGCTGCTCGCGTTATTGTTAAATAAATGGAGACGCGCGATGGGAACGCATCCTGGGCAAAGGATAAAGGCGGAACGATTTCGACGGTGGCGACTAAATATAAGTGGAAAAGGTAGTCGGTCCGCGTTATTCGTCGATCTGAATCACTTTGCGAGTATGTACATCCACGAGCCGGTTCTTTTGCGTCCCCCACGGGGGTTGGATTTATTTTTGCGGCGTATAGGCAGCATCCCCGATAGATTTTCCAATGAGTTACGGGGCTGAGGGCAGAAAGGTCGGACACGGTTTGCGAGGGGGGAGGGAGGGCGGGGGTGCAGCCGGACAGAAAACGGAGGGAGGCTGCGTCGAGATCAAAGGGTTGGTCATCCCCGCGTGGCTCTGGCCAACTCAAATAACCGAGCTAGCCTCGACCAGCGCCACCGGGGTTCCCCGTGACGATAGCCTAACCCTAAATACTGCAACCTAGCATGCATTCAGGTCGTTCGTTCAATTTTCGACAGGCTGCCCCGGCCGGATCGTCGCGCAAGGAGCCCCGGACTAATTCCACTTTTAAGATTAATTCGCCGAGCGGCCCCAATCAGCGAGATCGACGCTGTTCCGAAATTAATTGGGAAGCCGCGCGCTTTCTCCTTCGTCTAAAAAAAATTTCAACTTTCTTCGCTTTATTAAACTAGGATTTTCAATTAGACTTCGGAATTCGGTCACCGGCTCTCCTGTGTATAGATTTTTAGAACACCGCTATTATTAGCATCTCGCTTCTCGGGGGTTAATTGACGCCGGGCCCGTTCGATACACGGACCCGATGGAAATATATTCGTGCGCAGTTCGACGCGCCTAATTTCGAACAAACGCGAAATCGCGGGCAAGTTCTTTCTAGGTCGAAGCAAATTTTTAGCTCGTTGACAGACTTTGCGATCGCGTAGGTTTTCGCGAGAGACGGTTGATAACGCGTTCAACGATGCTTAACGATACGGCGGTCCGTTCGAGGCCGCGCGTTTCGAAGCAAGAACTTCCCGGTTCCGTGCGAGAATTCTACGATTCGGCCGGGAATCGGAGTTAATCGGTGGCTCTGATATCAGAGAATCTGGGAGAAGATGTCCGTGGACGAACGGTTACGTTGTATCGAGGGCTGCGGACGCGAATTATCGATGTCCGATGTGGGGAAAAAAGTTAATAAAGGAAATACCCGGCGTGCTTGATACTTTATCGGGGAATTTTCCGCGTTATCGCGTTCAGGTCAGATGGCGACTCATTAAATCGACTCCGCCGGCGGAATATTTGCCAGCGCGGAGGGTTCTTCCGCGGGAAGATAATAATCGTTCGCGCGAAAAATTTTTCGTCGCGGTGGTTCCATGTTTTCGGAAGAAACTGCGATCTCTGCGAAGAAGCTTCCGGCCCTTCGGGAAAAAAGGCCGGGGAACGCGGACGGGGAGCCGAGAACGCGACGGTTCCGCGTGGAAATTCGCGGATCCGGTTGCAAACGTACAGAAAGCCGGGAGCCGAGAGCCGAGAGTTACCGCGCCGAAACGACGAGCCGCCCCCGACGTGCTCGCCGCTCCCCTGGCAACCCCCACACCCCTTCCCCTTTAATATAATATTTAATCTAGCTTTGAACAGGCTTGCGGTTTCCGCCTCTGGAGTCGAGAAGCTAGCTCGCAAGCCTACACCGAAAGCTTTGCCTGTATCCAACGGAGGCCAGCGGTGTCTGCGCTTGGAAATATTCCCAGCTTCCGGGGAAGCTCTTCTTACGATATCAGCAATGAATTTAATTTTGAAAACGGATAGGGCCACCCCGCGCGTCACTACCGAAAAACAAATTCCAATTAACGCGGTCCAATTTTAAAGAACTCGATCTCATCGTCGAAATCGATTTCGTCCGTCGAGCTCCGCGAGAACGACGCGCCGTCGAAGAAAATTCTCGAACGTTACAATTTCAAGATCCATCTTGAATTATTTTTTGTCCGGTCTCCGAGGCCTGCGGATCGATACAAGCAAACCCGAGCGACAGATCGATGCAGTCGCTCAACCCTTTGCACTCGAAGCCGAATTAATAGAAAATTGAAATATAGTTTTTCCGACCCATGGTATTTTCGTTTTATATAACCTGGTGCATTTTGAACGTATGAAATTGAATTTTGTGACTCGTGCAACGAGTTCGACAGTTCTTTAAATATAAACGAATTCGGTCGATAACATTATTTTGAAACGCGACGTAACAGTTTTTATCGATGCCTCGGAGTCGCCGGTCGAGTGCGAAGGGTTGAAAGTGGCGATTCGTTGGAATTTAAAGAGGACTTCGATTCGCCGGGAAGCAAAGGGAAGACAAAGGACGCTGTTCGCGGTGTAATTTCGTGGATCGAAGGTCCCCGGCGGCGGCTCGACATTTATCATGCAGATAAGGCGATCGCATACTCACTCTGACAGTTGCCGGGCATCGCGTGCCTGAAGGATGACAACGGGTCCCGTGGTTGCAGCGGACTCGGCAGCGGCTGTAGGGGATTCGGCAAGGGTTGCAAAGGGTCCACCAACGGCGACGCGAAAAACGGACCACCCCTCTGCGAGGCAAACGCGAACGCGTGGAATTGCTGCTGCTGCCCTAAAAGAGACAACACTGCGATCAACCGTGCGCCTGTCCACTGGACTTACGGCACCCGCAACAATTGTCTATGATCCGACTTCGTTCCCGAGAAGCCTATCACTCGGACCTTGTTGCAAAACACCCTCGCGACCCATCGAAACACCCCTGAACGCCCGTCGCAAAATAAATCATTCCGGCCCGTAATCTCGCTTTCGAGTCGGCATAAATTGCCCGTCTTTGTCGGACCATCGAAGCCAGCGATAGATGCTAAACGATCCTAGCGTAACTTTAACGTCTGTAAACTTTAATGCTCCGGCTCGTTCTACCGGATCAGCCGGCCCTTTGGAACCTCGCAGTGCTCGTCGAGATTTAGTTCGATCGGTTTTGCAGGACACGCGCGTTCACGAGCAACAATGACGATAAGATCGACGTATTTGCAGCCGATGTACAGTGATGTCTCCCTAATTGTCGCCCAAATTGTGCAGTAAAATAGACAATTTGGGAAGAAGAGACGCGACTATTCGAGCCTTGCGGCTCGTTTTATATAATTACCGATTGTCAATAACTATAAAAACGAGCAAAGGCTCGAATAATCGTATCTCCTCTTCCCAAATTTTCCATTTCCGTGGACAATCTGAGCGTCAATTGGAGAGACATTACTGTAACTAGATTTAAATCTGGTCTTTGCAAATTTTGTTGCCCCGATCGCCTGATCGCGAAAATGGGTGTTCAACCGTTCGTATAAATAAATAAAATCGGATCAGATTAAACGGGTTTTAGGAATTCTCGGGCGAACGAATGGCCCAAAGATTGGATCGCGTCAAGATCAGAGTTCCCGAGGACCCGGTAGCACGGTTGCAATCGCCGTGTCCGTCAATCAGCGAGGAGGCGAGGTCCGGATCCCTTAAAAATTCGCCGTAAATTCGGCAGGAGCGGGTCGGAGCGGTCGGTGTCGGTATCGGGAGCCCCGGGTTAGGTATCGAGTACTTTCATTTCCCCGGGCAGCGTCGACCCGTCGCGTCGGAGCCAGTGGCCAGGACGGGCAGCGACAAGGTGGCAGGAGGCTCGAACGGGTGAAACTAAACGTCGGGCACGAGGGAGGGACCGTCGAAGAGACACGTAGAGGCGCACCGATTCATTTTATTTGCCGGGTACGGTGTCGCCAACCCAATTAAAGACGTCCCAACAGGCGACCGTTCTATCTGACGAGGCTGTGCTCTGCTCTGACCGGTCACCCCAGAGCGGCCGCGTTAGGTTAGGCTAGGCCAGAGAGTCCGTCCCCATACGTAGGTGGCGGACTGAAGCTTCCCTCCGACCCTCTTCCTGAACCGTCGAAATCTACGAACCAACACTGCCACGGAAGGCACTGGAGACCAAAGCCAGGAGGGACCGGAGACAGAGAGACGACGACGACGAGAGAGAGAGAGAGAGAGAGAGAGACGCGGAGACTGAGAGCGAGAGCGAGAGAGAAAGAGAGAGGGAGACAGGCAGGAGTCCTGGCAGACCCCCGCCGTTCCTGATAATCCAATCGAAGCCCTAATTCTAACTCGGCAACCCGAAATTCCCGCCGGTTTGCTGAATAGGGTACGCTGCCTCGATCCTGGGGACACAATGGGGGCGCGACGATGGAATACAGACCGGCAGTACCCGGGGCTAACGAGATCCCCGTTAAACGACCGCCGATTCGTTCGTTCCGCGACCAGACCCAGAAGAAATTCGCGCTCGGCTTCCTTACGTCAAAGGTCGCCGCTGGTTCCCATCGATCCGCGGATCCGGATCGATTCTCGCGACCGCAGGACGATTTTGAACGGTTGTCCCTACCTCCAGAGTCGATAATTTATCTTGGAATTATGCTGATGCGATAGCGCTGTTTTATCCCTAAATTGCATGTATCGCGTGCAATATCCCGAAGATATCCCAGCTGCCCGTTCGTCGAAGACAACAAGGTCGTTCGGAATTCTTCGGGGAGCTCTGTTCTTGTTCTAGGACCGTTGAGAACCTGCCAATTTGTCGTCTGTGCTCTAGCAACATGTCTGTCCCGTTAAAACATATCTACGAATTGTCAACAACTATAAAAACGAGCTGCGAGACTCGAATAATCGTATCACCTCTTCCCAAATTGTTCATTTTTGTGCACAATCTGAGCATCAGTTAGAGAGACATTACTCTACTCTTTTGAAGTACGAGAAGAAATTTTGAGACCGATCGGTAAAATATTTGTATCGGCCACGTTTCTCATAGAATAAAAAGTTTCTCTTCGATTTAGCGAAAATGTCGCCCCAACCTCGAAAAAAATGCAATCGGTGTGGTAAACGCGGTACGAAAGATTGTTCGAAGGGAAACGGAGGACTCTGTATCATCCGGCGGGCGATAAATCAGACCCAGGCGCGGCGTCGAACTGGGCCTAGAAAACTGGAAGGGCGCCGCTCGAGGGTCGTAATTAATTAAACAAGCAATTCATTACGGATTCTACCCTCGTAGCCAAAGGTGGCCGCCGCAGAGGACGCGAGCCTAAGGAAATTGATCGGGAGAGGTACCCGGAGAGCTCGGCCTTCCCGGATAAGTCCGCCTTTCCGCCGGAAGCGGAGACGGAGAGAGTAATAGAGGATAGCGAGAGGTTCGAGATATCGGTGTTGCTCAACGTTCGACCATCGGCGAGATCCTCTTTGTCGGAAAAGCTTCGAGAGCGAGGCGAAGTCTAGGCCTCGGCGAAGGGTCGATTTCGAGGGCGACGCGACGGAACGAAATGAGGAGCTGTCGCCGGCAGCTGCTAACTCTCGAGAAATTCCCTGGCAGTCACCCTGCCCGCGAAAAGGGGTTGTCCAATGAAATCGATAAGGGAGTAACGACTCAGAAGGTCCGAGCCACTTACTACATTGGCGCCTAAAAATTTGCCGGTCGTTAGTCTCCTCGGGAGAATAGATCGACCTCGAGAGTCTAGCTCGTTCCCTCGCGGAAGCATTGTTCGAGCCGAGCTGCTTCAAGACGCTCGTTCGACTCGAGCTGCGCTCGATAAAAAATCTTTCGCTGGCCCAAATCTCGATCGGGTTTCGGAGAAGTGCCCCCTTTGAATCGGGTATATTCGGGACCACGTTTACGAAGACAATTTCTTGGCACAAAATGACCTCGCGGAATAATTATTCCGTCATCGAAGGAGTCGAAAAAATTTGGAACTGCAGAAATTAATGCGGCCATTTTACCGTAGTTCTTTCGTCGTTAGCACACCGACGGAGATCTCTCTAATTTCTCACGGCAGCGTTCGGCGCGCGAGCAGAAAGATCCCCGAATAGCACGAAATAAATCGTTAATCGCGTGCCAGGAGAGCATTCCCAGAGGATGCGAGCGCAATAAAATTAGGGAACGTGTCAAAGAGGAGGAAGCGGTCGGTTTAAAGAAACGCCGATCGACCACCCACGATTCCCTGTCCTTTCATCCAGCGCCGCTTCCCTTCTGGCTCGCGTTGGATATCCTTTTCTTCCGGGGAAAACGGTTTGTTTTCATAGAAGATGTAACGCGCCGCGCCGCGCCGTCTAGTTTGCGACGCCGGTGACTTCGGACCGAGCTGGATTAGGGTCTGAATCATCGTAAAAAATTGGAGCGGGCCGCCTAATATTAGGACTCTCTTTCGCTCTAGGGCCGCAGCTTTTGAAGCTGAAATCGTGGCTGTTCCAATCGAATAAAGGGTTAGGTCGAGTAACAGGCTTCGCGTGTGCGTCGCGCGAAAGCTGTTAACGCGACTTCGAGAAGAAAGCCTAATCGACGTCCTCGCCGAGCACGGTCGAGCTATCTACCGGAGACAAGAAGACGCGGAGGCCCCACGGATCGACCGTCTCGCATCAATTTTCGCCGATTCGTCGTATCGATGCGTCGCGCGAATCGGTCTTGGCTCCGATATCTCCGGTATCGGGCGAGTTTCGATCGCTCAATCCTCCTCCGCCGCGTCCGGAACAAGATTTACAAACAGGCAGGGGTGCGGAGGGCGGGAAATTTCGCTTGCCGCGAGCACAATGCCTTCGCCGCGCGCGGCTTACGTAACCGGGAGAGGTTATCGGGGACACCACCCTCTCCCCGTCTCTCCGTCTCTCTCCGTCACCCTCTTCCGCGCGAAGGTGGTTCGCGGGGAACCTGCAGCCGCGTCGACAACGTCGGCTGCGACCCACCAAATAACCAGAGTCTCGGTAATTGTATGTCTCGGCAATGGCGTAGCCTTGGAGAACAGGTTAGCGGAGCCTCGCGCGCCCGAGACGCGCACCGGGCGAAACTTGGTGTAGGCGTCGCCGACACGGGCCGAACAATATCTCCGCGGCTAAACGCCGCAGCTCTTTATCAATGTTATGGCGGCCGGCCGCGGTTATAAATAATGGCAATTGCGCGAAACTTAGCCGGCTAGGTAACGGCCGACCGGCGGGAACCGCACGCCCGCCTCGCCGCGCCGAGCCATTCCGAAGTTGCGGCTTTCGATGCTTCCTGTTGCCACACAATTCCAACGATCGGGCCCCGGCGTGATCGTTTCGCGACCGGGGGACAGCATTCTGCCACCCTTCTAGCCGACAATATGGATACGTTTTTTAGGAACGACGAGCCTCCTGTCCGAAGAGGCTGGAAGTCGGCTGTGAAGCTCCTTGCAAACGTTACAGATTTCCTAGGAGACCGAAGACGATTTTAGGTATTTTGCAGCATCCAGAGATTGTTAAGAGGCTGGAGCATTTTCGAAAGTCTAGAATATTTCTTAGAAGATACGTCCTCTGTCTGGAAAGGCTGGAAGCTTCTTGGCGAAGGCGTCTCCTTTTTTTAAGGTGAACGCGCATTTTACAGCATCCGAGGATCCGACGCACTCGTCGCAGCTTAGGGTATTTTTTAAACGTCTTTCCTAATTCAATCGAGAGAGACAAAGTGCAGAGCAACTGTGTTCTTTGCGAAATCACTTTGTTCAGAAGATGGGGACACTTTCAGGGAGTCAAGGTATCCTTTGTTAGAATTTTTTTTGACGTGGCCAGCTGTTTCGCTAAATTGAGATATTATTTCCATCATTGTGGAATGCTGTTAGAAGTCCAGAATTTTTTCTCGGAGAAATCGGATGTGTCACGCGATACCGAGATTATATTTCAGTCTTCCAAGTTTCACAAAACAACCTGAACGACTAAAATAAGCATTCCCGAAGGCAGAGTCAATCTATCGGGAACGTTCCGCTCCGCGAATGTGAAAACCACCCCCAGAAACTGATTTCTGCAATTCCGTGTGAAAAATCCTTTGGCATATCGATTGAAACGTACGTCTCGAGCGAAATCGATCGGCGGCGCTTACATTCTAAGCGAGGTAGGATATAAATAAATGAATAAGAACAGTAATGCTTACAGTGATACTCACTGGTCTTGGATCGCGGTTCCCGCGGCCCGTCGACGGTCACCTTGATGGCCTTGGTGTAGGTGGCGACCTGCGGGGGCGTGGTGGACACGGTGATCGTCAGAGTGAAGCTCTTCCCTGGAACAGAAAAGGCGTTCGCGATCGTTACCGGGAACAGGTTGGGGCTCGTTCCGGCGAAACTTTTTCTCCGCGGATCATCGTCGATTCGCGGGCGGGACGATTGAAACGGCGCCGGAAGTTCGCAAACGTGGTTAGCCGGCTGAAACTCGGCGGTAACCGAATTAACCGTCGGTAATGTATCGAGGGCGTCGTCGATGGTGACGGCGGGCAGCCAACGCGACCGAGCCGAGTGGGCCGAGCGGGCCGAGCGGGCCGAGCGGGCCGAGTGGGCCGGCGCGCGCTCAGTTATGTTAAAAAGCCTATTAAACGCGCGTCACCCCGAAAAACAACCCTTCCGTAATTATACTCGAAACTGGAGGGTTTGTTCGGGATTTTATGCGGCGCGCTGTGATTATGGATTGCCGGGAAACTTTGCGGCGAATCAATTTAATGGAATCTTCTGCCGGCTCTCTGCCGGCCTCCGACGCTTTTCGACCTCTCGCGCAACATTATTTTCGACGGACCGCTTTTTCCGACGGATGTTATTGACGCGCGACGAATCTGCGGCTTCGACTCGAGGCCTCGATTTATTATCTCTCGACGATGGAACGGGCGACGACGATGCTGTTCGAAATTATTTCGACTTCCTCGGTGACGGATTTCTTAGGATGAATGAAACAATTGTGCGCGTGTTCAACGACGCGATAGGGAACAGAATTCCTTAAACGCGCGCACGAGCGCGTGTATCCTTGAAGGGCCTGTATCCTTGAAGAAATTAGAAGACGAAACGAATTTTTAAATAATTTTTTGAAGAGATAATTAATTAAATGTCGTACGCATAGATTGGAGAGAGCATCGTGTATCGCGGTGAAAGGAGGGACACGTTTCAATGGGCGCCCCCGTGTAATCGAGAACAATGTTGCGTAAAAAATACAACGTCACGTAGAACACAGTAGTTGCACACGCAGAGGTTCACCGCAACTCCGCGTGCACCCTATTTCACTCTTTTTCTCACCCCCATCGTTTCTCACCCCCCAGGCGGATCACCGATCGCGTGGCTTCCACTTTCTCGTCCTCCCCGATCGAACGAAGGATTGTAAAAATGGATTTGTTTCGTGGTCGACGCGCTCGCATGATTTCTGCCATCGCGTCGCGTCGCGTCGAATCGATAGTCGTTTGACGGAATCGTTTGTCCGGCGGTTGAATTTACGACAAGAAATATTATACGCGTCCCTAATTGACGCTCAGATTGTGCAGAAAAATGGACAATTTGGGAAGAGGAGATGCGATTGTTAGAGCATCGCAGCTCGTTTTTATAGTTGTTGACAATCGATAGCCATAAAAAGCAAGTCACAAGGCTCGAACAATCGTATCTCCTCTTCCCAAATTGTCCATTTTTGTGCGCAATCCGAGCGTCGGTTAGGGAGACATTACTGTACCTATCGATATAAAATTAAAGCTTCGGAACTGTTAATCCAAGTCCCGCGACTCGGCACAAAGGTTAAATTCGAGAGTTTCGTAATATCGGAATCGAGTTTCCAAGTCGAGGATTCGAGTTTCAGGATTCGGGGTTCGCCGGGAAGCATTCTTACGCGAGCCGCGTGAATATTGAGAAGCAAAAGGGCCGCGTAGGCCCCTGGAACCCGTCAGAGCCCAAGTTCCCGGTGCCTTCGACGTCGAGATTGACGGGGCCGACGGGAAGAAATAAAGAAAGAATGAAAAGGAGAAAGCACCGGGGGAATAATGGCGAGTGTGTCGAGCGTGGCCACACGGCGGTTCACCACGCGAGCTTCTCGTTTTCCAGCAGGGGATCCCGTCAGTTTGCTGCAAGTCACGGCATCCTCCTGGCCTGGCAAACCTTTTCACCTATTGCGGGAGTTCGTGGTTGCACAGTTAGGTGGGTACACGTAAGTATCACCCTCGGTGCCAGTCGCCGTGGAACCATTAAAAGTCCGACTATTTCATCCCCAACCTCGTCGCCTCCTTTCAGCCCCCCGTCGCTATCTTCGATTTTCTGAGCAACGACGAGTTTTCTATTTCTCGACGTCGGTGTCGCGTACGGAGAATCTCGATCTCTCGCGATCGTTGCCGACGAACTATCGCGAATAGACCCTGAGCATAGACCTTGGGAAGAATCGAGTTTTGTTCGCCGAAGCCGATTAAAACGTGCAACGAAATTTCCAGCGGCCAAAATTTCTAACACGATTTTCCAGCACGGAAAATTCGTGCGGATATTAAACGCGACAGTCGGATCGCGCAAGGTAAAACTGTGCGATCGCTCGCGCGAGCTTGCCGAGCGCAGGAATGGAGATTGTTTCAGCACGTTAAGCGATCCTGTAGCCAGAGACGAGACAGGTTTATTCGCGAGAGCAAAGTTGAAGGATACCCGTCTGCTCTCGGCTGAAACTATAAGCGCTCAAATGATCTATCTCGTTATAGGGCTTAGGGTTGAAGGGGTGGAAACGATACGATACCTTCGGGGGTAGACTTCCCAGTGATGGAGCTGGCATTACAGCCGAACGTGCAGGAACCGGGCCATAGCTTATCATCGATATTACAAAGCTCGAGAGCTAACGCGCTCGGTTTTCCTCGAACCGTGAACACTTTTAAGCGATTACCGCGGAAAGTCGCGGTTTTCGCGCGACGCCCTTCGTTCTTGCACCTGCAGCGAGCTTCCCCGAGCTTCACCTTTCCAAGACACGAAGTTGTTATCATTTTCCCGGCTGTTTCTTCGACCGCGATAATAAATAGATTCCTAAGAAACCCGGCTTTCGAAAACGCTGTATAAAATGATAAAGATCGTAACGATTTCAGAAAAAAGATAATTGTCATATTTTCTGCACCGTTCAAGTTCTTCGACGACCTCGAAGACGATGCCACCCGAAAGACGAGGGTTTCGAACGAAGCGGGGCGAACTCAAACGGCCGGGAGAATCATCGAATCGTCGCGATTAATTCCGCGATCGGCGGTGAATATTTACAGGCAATTAAACAGCGTTCGTTCGTCGGCAATTATTTTTTGCCGAGGTGCGACAAAGGGTAGGGGGACGGCTGAATGTTCGCAGTGTGAAACCCGGGTGACGTTGATTTTCGAGTAGGAGGAAAAGGTGGTCGGTTGTCGCTGCCGGCAGTTCATCCTGACCATAATCAATTCGTTATCAGAGTACAATAGCGCATTTGCGATTCGTTTGGGGAAAATTGAAATTAATTAATTGGCTCGACAACGGCCTGGACAGCCTAGCCCCCGTCGTTGCACACCGTTGCACGTTGTCCCGTTGCGTGTATGCAGCTCGCGCGCGCGTCGCTCCACATTTTCCCGGAGAATCGTATGCTAACGAGCATTATCAGGAAATCGATCTCAATGCACTTCCGCCTGCTGTCTCTCTTTCCAATCGCACCCGGTGCCAATTCAATTTGTCCCCTTAATGTTCTTCATATTCTTCCGTCTCGATTCGACCAGCGGCGATATCCTTTCCTCCTCGCCTCTCGGCACGGTATATCGACGAGACCCCCTAACGTTCATCGGTCTCCCATTTTATTGGTATCGAGTCGGCGGGATCATCGTTCCCGGGGCCAAAGTTTATTCGAACCGATTCGACGCAACGAATCAACGTCGCCAGATTGACGTTCGTCTGCAATAATGGCCGCACGGGACGCTCCCGCGGCGGTTTGTCGATTAAAAATTTATTGCTCGAATTATTGGAAATTTCCAGCCGCATTTCCTTCGTTAGAAACTTTGCTCCCGCGGTCTCCCCGCAAAAATCTAATCCTCTCCCGTCTGTCGTGGTCTCCAGGCAACGATTAAGAAACATACAAGTTCATTTTCTACTCGAATCGTACGATACGCGCTATTATTTTGCAGCGCGCGTCGTGCGATTTATGCAATTAGCTGCCGATCGATAAATTCCTGTTCGAGAATTTGTATGAAAGAAAATTGAAACGCGCGCGATATTTTTCCGGTTTTTGATCGTTGGATTTTTCTCGAAGGGGGTTTTGAAGGATAACCGAGAGAGCCTTTTACACCAAGCAGGATCCAGCCCCCTCGGTCACGTGCATACAGAGGAATGTCCCCGTCGTCGGTCGACAAACGGTAGGATCATTAAGGATTCGCTAGAGTTTGGCGCGCATCGGTTCCCAGGGAATATTCAAAGAGCCGGGGAGTCGCAGGAATCCTGACGAGAGACACTTCTCTTACATTCTTCATCCTAGCTTATGTTAATTCCGCGCTCGACGAAAACAATTGAGAGCTAATCCCAGACAAATGACTGACGCGCTTCCGTGAACACCCCCCCGGGACCCGAATTCACCCTCCACGAGGATAGAAAATTCAGCTATGCCGCGATTTCCGAACACCCTATTTTGCGAGCCGTGTTCTTCAGCGCGAATTCGAGCTGTGAATTCTGAGACACTCTGTAGCTATTTATTTACCCTTTCGAACATCGTTCGACCAGGTATCCCCGTCAATTTTTAAGAAACGAAACAACGAATCTCCGCTATTTTATTCCGTAGATTGAAAAACTAATGTAGAATGTTTCAAAATTTCTAATAAACAACGGCTGCTAATTTTTCTATAAAATTCTAACATTCGACAAAGTCTGGTCGGTCCGGTCATCCAAGAGCGGATATTAAATTATCCGTATAAAAACCCTATCGGTATACCGTTGCAAAATAACGAAACTACAATGGTGTCGGTGTTCTCGGCGAACGAAGAAACCCGTTTACCTTCGATAAACAGCGTTTACAAGTGGGTCGCGAATCGCGCATCGGGCCGGAAAACGCGGCCGGAGAAAACGGCGGCGCTAATAACGTTAATTAAAAGCCAGCCGAAACCTCAATTAATATCCGCCGCCCCCGTTTCCAGGGGCGTCGGCATCTTCGACCCAGTCCGCGTCCTTTTCCGCTGCCGAAGGCGAGACACCGAAGAAGGAAAGTAAAGAGGAGGTTGCTTCGGCGGTGGTGCGGACAAATAAAAGCCATTACCCACCCCCCGGAAGATGCCGGCGCGGCGCGGAGCGACGTCTCCTCGGATCCGCTCGCACACCAATCAACGTGCACCCGGCAACCCCTGCGAAACGTCCAATTCCCCACCCCCAGGACCCGGAAGAACAGTTTTCCCGAAGGAGCGAAAAACGAAGGAGGGTGTCTCAAGACGTCCACGACCTACCCTTACTACGCCGAGAATTCTTTGACGGGACTTCCCAGCCTGGAATCCACCCTCTTCAGCATTTTCTTCGGCGGGCTTGTCAACGGGGATCAACGGAGTTTCGGTGTTTCATGAATGAACAAGCCGAGCCGACCGGAGGAACGCGATTACGTCGTTGCCGCGGAAAATTCGAGACACCAATTTTCGAAGTCGACGCCGAAGTTTGAAGTTTCCGGGCAGTTTCGCAACTTCGTTGCGGCGCCGAGGATGAACACGGTTAAATATTAGCTAGCCGGGACCGACTCCGAGGAGTTGAATCGGAAATTTTCTCCCTCGCGCGCGCGCGCGTCCGCGAGAGCAGGATTTTTGCGCGGGCCTCTTTGTACTCTGTTCGGGCCTAGAAATGAATTTCCATTGTAACAGGCTCTCGAATTGAAATAAACACTGCCGAGAACTCTCTCTGTCTGGAGCTACGATCAACAACGGGTTAATTCCGAGCAAAGTAACAGGAACGGAACATTTTCGAGGGCTCGTTTGAGCGAGAAAGTTTTTGACAAAGGTTACCGCGCGGACGTTTGAACCGCCGAGCGGAGATTGTAGGAGCGAGAGACTCACCTCTGCCGCTTCTACCGACGAACCTAAGATCGTTGAACTTGGCCACCTGATTCTTCATAAGGGCGGTCGAGTTTCTTAGCTCGGCACAACAGTTCTCGTCGTTACCAGCACGAACAGTCACCAGAGTGCCATCGCCGACCTCGCCAAGGGCCACGACCTTGAATGCCACTGGGAGGGTCTTGTTGGACCTCCAGTGGGCTGGTAGAACGCTGCAGACCAGGTGGGGCGACCCTGTCGCAGAAACAGTTGTCCTTAAACCTTCAAAGTCCCTCGAAGTTTCACGTAATATTTCACAAGATATCATCAGATAATATCACACAAGAAAACTAGATGAAAATGCTGATCCTAATTCAATGATCTAACGAGCAATCTGCTCCGTCAAGTGATCGTAATAGCCTTTAATCCGTGGTTGATCTTAGAAGCACGATGATTAGACCGCGAATCTTATGCAAAATAAAATTTGCCATGAAAGTGTCTTCTCTCTTTTAATAATCGTAATAACTTGAAAATAATGCATCAATATCCTCGAGTCCTTGTAATCTTATTTCAGCTTCGTATTCGACACACTAATTTTCGTCATAAATGCATAAAATCTGCAATCTAGTGATAACAATATGTTTGCCAGGGGATCGTGAAAACCATATTCGTCGCGTGAAAGATCGATGGACATTGAATATCTAGATCGAAACGTTGGAGCAGCGTCTACGAAGTACAGTAATGTCTTCCTAACTGACGCTTAGATTGCGCACAAAAATGGACAATTTGGGAACAGGAGATACGATTATTCCGGCTTTGCACCATGTTTTTATAATCGTTGACAATCGGTAACTATAAAAACAAGTCGCGAGGTTCGAATTCGCAAGGCTCCTCTTCCCAAATCGTCCATTTTTCTGTACAAGCCAAGCTTCGATTAGCTGGATTTACCGTACAATTTACTGCACGTCTCTTTCGATTCGGTCGAATAGATCGCGCATTACTGTACAGTAATATCTCTCTAATCGACGCTGAGATTGTCCCCAAAAATGGACAATGTAAGAAAAGAAGATACGATTATTCGAGCCTCGCGACTCACTTTTATACTTACGAATTGTCAAGAACTATGAAAAAGGAGTTGCGAGGCTCGAACAACCGTATCTCCTCTTCCCAAATTGTCAATTTTTCTGCAGAATCCGAGCGTCGGTTAGGGGAGACATTACCGTATCCGGCAACGTGTACAGAGCGTTCCGGTTCGCACCTGTTCTGACCAGCTCCCCAGGATGCTCGCTGACGAAGTCGCCCAGCGTCCTCTCCGCCAGGATGTCGTTGGTCATCTTGGTGTATGCATCGGTCAAAGGCGAAACGCCCGACTCCGGGGAGGCGGCAGTGCCAGGAGCCGAGGCTCCTGTCAACTGCATCCTACCGCTGGATCCACCGCTCTCGCTGGCAGTGCTAGCCGTTCCACAGCTGGACTCGTTGCTGGACCCCCTCACCGAGCCAGCGCCGCTTCCGGATACCGTGCTTCCGCCACCGCCGCCGTTGCAACGGCCGAATATATCCATAGGCAGTCAGAACGCCGGAAGATACATCCTTCCATTCGGTTCACACTCGCTTCCACCGACTTTACAGAGTATCCGCAGTAGATCCGGACCGTCCTGGGTCAGGCAGTCCCGTCTGGCATCCTGCTAGCCGACGGCGGAGCTCTCGGCGACCGCCGACCACTCTCTTCCCCGAGACCGGCTCCTCGAATCCTCTTGGTTCGTCCGCTTCTTGGTTAAATGTCGTCTGGCGGGGCCTCGCACTCGAAGCGCTCGTTCGACGAATTCGCTGGCCAGGATCGCATCGGGATTCTAATGGACTAGGCGGCGGATCGGCGAGCTACCCCTCGGTGCGATCTGCGAGCAGCAAAACACACCCTTCGTTAGATTCGGGACGGAAAATGTTCGTCCGCGAATACGTGGACGCTTGATTTAGGTGAACAGCGCGTTAAAGCGTCGACCGTCGATCTAACGTCCCCTCTCAGATCCTGCGTATTCGAATTAAATCGTGGAAGATGCGATGGCACTCTTAGACGCGCCACCTTAGGATTCTGGAGCACCTTAGGATCGTAGCATCCGTAGCGATCGACGTGGAGGTCGACGCGTCAACGGTGTAATAATCGGAGAGAAGCAATTTCATCGACATTGCGTGGAAACGATGCTTGTAAATCAGCGAGGATCGGCGATCGTTCAAAGAGGACACGCCGTCGATCGGCGAAATTTAAGGTCCCGGTAAATCCCGTCGAGAAAGTAATGGTTCCAATGACCGGTTGCTAGCTGTGGGTGCTGGCTGATCGTAGATCTACGATGTCAAACGCCCTAACCGGCGAGCAACAGCGGCAATCGATAAGAGCGATTCCCAGTGGATCGTTCGTGCCATTACCGTCTCGATTCGCACGCGATCACGCGTCGTCGTGATACCGGGAGACGGATGCGGCCTGGAGTTATCATCGGAAGATCGCCGCAGATCGAGAGACACGATTGATGGTGGGAAAAATTGATCGGCGTCGTCTTGGGAAGGGTCGGTCGCGGCAGCGACGGGACACGAGGCGACGGTGGCGGGTCTCCTCGGACCGGCAACCCTTTCTCGGCCCCTTAATCCATTTAACCGGGGTAGCCTTTATCCGGTCCCGGGGGGCCTTTAACCGAATCTATGGTGCCCGGTGGCGACGCGACAGCCACGGAACGTCGCTTGATCGCCGCCGGAGAGACAGGAGAGAGACCGGAGAGAGAGTGAGAGAGAGACCGACGAAGGGAAGAGAGGAAGAGGGACAGCGAGGATCGGTTGACACCGACGGAAACAGGCAGCTCGCTCTCGCACACTTTTCACGCGGCCGGCCCCGTGACGTCACCGTTCATTCAGTAATTTTTGCGCACGTCACCGGGGCTGACACACCGGATCCAGGTGGTGTTCCAGGAGGGGTTGGACCGGCCGACACGCCGACGTGGTGGGGACGGAAAAAATAGGGGAAAAAGAACTCCCGCCGGCAGGCAACCCCCACACGACCGCCGCCACGGATACCCAGCCCCTACGCACGTACAACCGCGTGTCAAACTGCACGTGGTACGCTGCCACGTTGTCCTGTCAATGCCGGGGCACACGGCAGCAGGAGCACCTCCGCGCGATACCGAAAGAAACCGATCGGCGAGCCCCGACACCGTCAGAAATCGCTGACCGTGTTTTGCTCCTTCGAATTTTAGGATTTGCTAGACTATGCCCGGATTGAAATGCGATACAGCGTTCGTACGATTCGGTAACGATAACGTTATTATTTCCTGGGTTGAATCGTCTCGATCGTAAAACAGATTCTTGTCTCGATTCTAGTTTCGTTCTAGTTTCTTCCTTTTTAGTTCTAGCAACGTTAGAGAATGAAAGATTGCACGAAGATCCGCGGTTCGGTAGTATACGTGCTTCTCGAGCGATTCAATTTTTATCGCATCGAATCGTCATGATTTTATGAGATTCGTCGAGCCGCTGGATCGACGATCATCGTCTTTGCAGCACGCCTGGGAAGATCGGATGGTGGGATGATTGTTGCAGACGCGATTCCGAATCGTGTGACTCTACGAATACCTTCGGAAGCGAACCGTGTTTAGGCTGATCACGGGGTGGATTAGTCTCATCATCCTTGTAACATGTAGTTTCGCGAATGCCTTGAAACCGAATTGTCTGCTCGGCGCATACATCGATCGAGTCGATGATCGAGGAGACGCGATACTTGGGATACAGAATCGAAGAGGAATTTGAACTTGAAGCGTTGTTGACGCCGTTGTATACAGGCTCGTGAAATTGATAGTTGAAAGCTGCGAGAACCGAGCGAATACGTTTTAGTAAAATTCTACTATTTGTCGAGCTTCGCGATCCGAACTTAGCTATCTTTTTCACCGGTCTTCGATCGCCGATGCGGGACGTGTTGCGAGGACCGAAAACTTTTACCTTTGCATCGCAAATAAGACAGTTATTTCTAACGCGAATTGGACAGATAATTAACGAGGGAGGAAATTGTCTTCGGGGTTGACAACTGGTGTCGTAGGTTAAGAAGTTGAATGAGCAATGTATCAGCGATGTCGCAGACAGATTTAAGAAACGAACGAACGTCCACCGAGAGATCGTCTTCGGAAACAGATCGACATTGACGAAGTTACGAGCACTTTGACCTGGCAATTGTCGAGGGAGAATATTGTTACAGGCATTCGGTGCTTCGCGAGAACAGAACGGTAATTGGACCAGACAAAATCTCGGGCCTAAAATCTTCCAACACAGAAATCTCCGGACCGATTATCCGCGCTAGCGATCTAGACCCTCCCCGAGGTCGATTAAAACCGCGAACCTTCGAGTGAAACTTGCTTGTCCGAGCAACGACAGAAGGCGGACGACAAAGAGGACGCGGCAGGGACCCTCGGCACTCGGAAAGAACGCGGAACGTCGCGCGACAGCTAAGATTCCCGCCTAACTTCGCATTCAAATCTCTTACCGGGCTGGAGCCGTGTCCGCACTTCCGGAGGAAACGCACGCAGCCCGCCGTTTCCGTTTTCCGGAAATCGCGATCGGTCGTTCGGTCTCACTACACATTCCCCGGAGGCACGTTTTCCGAATTCATCGTGCCACGACGGGATCGATTAGGCTATTAAAACAGTCCCGGCTCCGCGGATTCGCTTGGCAATGGAATGAAAAACCGAGTCCGATCACCGATCTATCATTCCACCTTCGATCTTCGCCCTGCCGCGACACACTCACTGCGTCCACCGACGGACTATCAAACGACGGCACTGTCTTCACTGACCACAATCTACAGAACAGAACCACTGTTTCCGTCGATTCTACTCGAACCACGCACTGAAACAAACAATCCACGCAGCGGAACGCAGCGGATCCTCCGTCAGCATCGGGATCTAGAAAGCTCCGGTAGCTTTCCCGGTGTCCCGCGAAGCGTGTTCATCGTTCACCAAAGGGGATCGTTCACCGGGCACCGAATCACCGGGCAAGAAGAGAAAAAGGGGGCCAGGGACCGAGGACGACGACGGGGACACTGATTCCGGCGACTAGCGAAAACGTTGGGAAGTCGACGGGAGACCGGAGGAATCACTTTCCGGTAGACAGTGCGGGACTGGCGTGTTTTGGTAGTCGCAGCCGTATCTCGGTGTACCCGTTGGGGGCCACTAACTATAATTTCGGCGGTTCGTGTGAGGCAACAGCCGTTGACGCACTGGTCCATGCCAACACACGCAGCATCCCTTTCCCCTTTCCTGGTTCCTCTCACACCCCGCCGACACCCCACTCCTTTCTCTCGGCAGCGATCTCTCTTCGGCTCGGTGTCTTGCTCTCCTCGTCTCTTCGGCCGGGCCGGGTCGGGTCGTCTCTCTTTTCGTCCCTCATTCTCGGCTGGCTTGGCCCTCTTTCTCTCTCGCCACCGTTGCTCTTTATCGCTTTATCTCCCACCGGACCCCTAACCCTCTCTCCCTCTCTATCCTTCTCTCTCTCTTTCTCTCTTCCTCTTTCTCTCTCTCTCTCTCTCTCTCTCTCTCTCCCCGCATCCCCATCGGGTCGACCCTTTTGCGGTGTGGCTCGCGTGCGTCCAACGGTGGGAGGGTTTCGGTTCGATCGATCTATCGAACGCGATTCACCGGGGCGGCAGTTTTTTCCTTCGACTTGGACGAGCCTCGCCGACCCCCGAAACTCGCGGCCTACGACTCGTAACGAGTGCCGTTATGTTTAATTAGCCGCCTACCGCCTACCGGCTGCCGGCTGCCGCCTACCGCCGCGCCGAAAGTTAATGAGGAGACGCCACCGGCCGGCATTGTCCGCGATGTTTGCTGCCGACGACTGTTTGACCGAACCGATCGACCATGGGGCGCCGCGGCTGCGATCCATGGGGAAGGGGCGAGCTCGATCGTTGTTCGCCGATTATGGCGGGATCGATGCGCACGGCGAATCGTTTCGAAACCAATTTTCAGATCGAACTTTTTATCCTGGAAATTCCGTACATCCGCGCTGTGCGGATCTTTTATGCAGATTTTCCTTCGCGCGGAGCATTTCGCAAGGAATAATTCCTGCCGGTAGCTGCAACGTTCTCCGTTCTAAAAATTGTTTATAAATCTGTTCGATCCTCGCGCGGGATAAATTAGAGCTAAAATGGATAGAACGATGTTCGAGCTTTGCGCGAGAGAAGCTTCTTTGGGGCATTTTATTCTCTGAGGTTATTTCTGAGAATTAATCAACGATTGACAGCCAACCGAAATTTGTACAGACGCCAATTGTTGCTAGTCAACGTCCTCTTAATAAAATAACAATTCAGAGAATTCGTTGACCCGTGGCTCGAGAGTACAGTCTGTCGAAAATCAAATAATCCTTCGATGAAAATGATTTTCTCTGCTAAGAAATTTCAAGAAAACGTATCGTGTCTTGCGATGCTCAATTATTCGGAGGATTCTGGCGATCGAGAGACGTCAAGACACTCGGTTAATCTGCTAAACAAAACTCGTGGAGAATCGCACCGTGGATAAAATCGTGCCTTCGCGCGAAACATCAATTACGGAGCGTTTCCGGGCAAGAAATATAGAAGATCGTTGTATCGATCTTCGGTGCAGAAATCCCCGCGTCATCTAGCGTGTTTGCCCGCCGGCAAGTCCGCGACCGGTTGGCTATCGTCAGGATATATTCGCACAGGAAATGGGTAGTTCCATTGTTTGCACGTTCGTACAAACAGTGCAGCTGCGAGGATGCGCCGGAATCGGCTCTCTCTCTTGTTTGATTTTCGAAAGTGAAGCTCCATTGTAGCGTGTGCCATGCCGGTGTACACCGACTAGTCGCGGCGGGCTTGAATCGCCGCACCCGGACGAAAGAATCGAGAGAACACTTGGAAGGAAACCGGACGCCATGCTGGAAGATCGCGCGATCCCGGGGCTCGACGAGCACTTTGCTTCGCCCGGCAATCAACGATTCCGATTAATCGACCGATCGCTCGTCCTCGTTGACTTCGCTCGCCTATGCGTTCGTCAAACAGATTTCGAACGCGTTAGAGACACGGCGGACACTGTGTTCTCGCAGCGTGCGATTCTATTCGATTTTATCCGATCGCCACGGAGGCGAATTTTCAAACGAGTACGAACGCGATGGAACGAACGGCGAGTTTTAAGTTACTTTGCTTTCGACAGGCTGTCGTCGTTTTATAGAAGAATCGATGCATCGACGCGACTCGATCTTAGGAGCTACAGCAATGTCTCCCTAATCGACGCTCGGATTGTCCACAAAAATGGACAATTTGAGAAGAGGAGATACGATTGTTCGAGCCTTGTAGCTTGTTTTTATAACTGTTGAAAATCGGTAACTATGAGAACGAGTCCCGAGGCTCGAATTCGCAAGGCTCCTCTTCCCAAATTGTCCAATTTTGTGGCCAATCAGAGCGTCGATTAGGGAGACATTACTGTATTATAAAAATGGGAGCAGCAGCTGTTCGCGGATCTTAATAACCGCGAGGAGGGAAAAGGAAACTCGGTGTGTATCGTGGAAGGAGAGACCCGAGGACAAACGATGCGAAATCGTGACGGATCCTCCGATCGGGCGTCGACGATTCGGAGAAATTAGTTTGCATATTTTTGCGCTACGATGGGTATCGAATCGGTCTAATCCGCGAACGGGAATCGACGGCTCGGCGGGTTTGCGGAGCGGTCGGAAATGGTCGGACGGCAATTCGGAATTTAAGAATAAAACGGCGGGAGTTGGTACGGTGACGTCGGTCGGCGTTGGGTCAGCGAAACGCAAACGAAAACGCAGGAAACAGAGGGTTTGGCGCCGCGGCGCGGCGCGGCGCCCCTCCAATCTGTCGCTTATTTGAATAACAGCAACGAGGTCCGCGGAATGAATCGCGGGGGTAGCAGAAGTACCGGTATTCAGCGGCGAACGATCGTCGACGAGACGGTGACAAACAGCGATACGCTCGAAACGTGGAAACTGGACGGCCGTCGTCGTATTGACAAACGACCTAACGCCCGTGTGGACCGTTGCATTCGACGAGATTCGAATTATCTCTGCTGGAGCTTGTCAATGCAAATGCCATACCTACATTCAATTACCGCTCGTCACGCTCCGATCACCGCGTGAACGCCGAACCGCGGAATATTCCCGCTCGATTTCTTTTCGGGGCCGCCCACGCCTAGTCGATTTTTCGAGACGATTAAATCGATCGCCGCCGACGGTCCTGCGTCCCGTTCTAATCGTTGCGGGACGATCCTCGATTCCGAAAACATTCGTGCGCTGCCTCTGGCTCGTCGCTTTTTCATCGGAACGACTCTCGATCGATGGGTTTCTTTTACGGGGCGTTTTTTAATCGAACATAATACGATACGCGCGACGATTCGAATCGTTTCCGGAGCACGAAAGTTCCTCGAAAGAACCTCGGAGCACGGTTCAACAGTTTAGAAAATAGCGGAGGACCAAGCTGGAATTATTTGTTGGCGATATCGACGATCGTTCGAAACAAACAGAAGCGACGCGCGCGTTACATTTACAGTGTAAAAAACACTGGAGCGTCGAGGCGACAGAGGGAATAGTTAGTATTTGATGAGCAGCGGGTGACAACGGGCGGGACGATTACATCGATTTCCCAGTGAATGAGGATCGCTCGATCAACACAAAACACAGACCCGCGACAAGGGGACGAGTGACACTAATTAATGGTTTCGGCATCGATTAATGATCGGCGCCGGAGGGGGGTCGGGACACGGGGCTCGGGGCTCGGGGCGCGAGGCTCGGGGATCGGGGGTCCGGGTCCGTGTCCGTGCTTCATTAGCGAGAATCAGTTTTTAANACTTGGAAGGAAACCGGACGCCATGCTGGAAGATCGCGCGATCCCGGGGCTCGACGAGCACTTTGCTTCGCCCGGCAATCAACGATTCCGATTAATCGACCGATCGCTCGTCCTCGTTGACTTCGCTCGCCTATGCGTTCGTCAAACAGATTTCGAACGCGTTAGAGACACGGCGGACACTGTGTTCTCGCAGCGTGCGATTCTATTCGATTTTATCCGATCGCCACGGAGGCGAATTTTCAAACGAGTACGAACGCGATGGAACGAACGGCGAGTTTTAAGTTACTTTGCTTTCGACAGGCTGTCGTCGTTTTATAGAAGAATCGATGCATCGACGCGACTCGATCTTAGGAGCTACAGCAATGTCTCCCTAATCGACGCTCGGATTGTCCACAAAAATGGACAATTTGAGAAGAGGAGATACGATTGTTCGAGCCTTGTAGCTTGTTTTTATAACTGTTGAAAATCGGTAACTATGAGAACGAGTCCCGAGGCTCGAATTCGCAAGGCTCCTCTTCCCAAATTGTCCAATTTTGTGGCCAATCAGAGCGTCGATTAGGGAGACATTACTGTATTATAAAAATGGGAGCAGCAGCTGTTCGCGGATCTTAATAACCGCGAGGAGGGAAAAGGAAACTCGGTGTGTATCGTGGAAGGAGAGACCCGAGGACAAACGATGCGAAATCGTGACGGATCCTCCGATCGGGCGTCGACGATTCGGAGAAATTAGTTTGCATATTTTTGCGCTACGATGGGTATCGAATCGGTCTAATCCGCGAACGGGAATCGACGGCTCGGCGGGTTTGCGGAGCGGTCGGAAATGGTCGGACGGCAATTCGGAATTTAAGAATAAAACGGCGGGAGTTGGTACGGTGACGTCGGTCGGCGTTGGGTCAGCGAAACGCAAACGAAAACGCAGGAAACAGAGGGTTTGGCGCCGCGGCGCGGCGCGGCGCCCCTCCAATCTGTCGCTTATTTGAATAACAGCAACGAGGTCCGCGGAATGAATCGCGGGGGTAGCAGAAGTACCGGTATTCAGCGGCGAACGATCGTCGACGAGACGGTGACAAACAGCGATACGCTCGAAACGTGGAAACTGGACGGCCGTCGTCGTATTGACAAACGACCTAACGCCCGTGTGGACCGTTGCATTCGACGAGATTCGAATTATCTCTGCTGGAGCTTGTCAATGCAAATGCCATACCTACATTCAATTACCGCTCGTCACGCTCCGATCACCGCGTGAACGCCGAACCGCGGAATATTCCCGCTCGATTTCTTTTCGGGGCCGCCCACGCCTAGTCGATTTTTCGAGACGATTAAATCGATCGCCGCCGACGGTCCTGCGTCCCGTTCTAATCGTTGCGGGACGATCCTCGATTCCGAAAACATTCGTGCGCTGCCTCTGGCTCGTCGCTTTTTCATCGGAACGACTCTCGATCGATGGGTTTCTTTTACGGGGCGTTTTTTAATCGAACATAATACGATACGCGCGACGATTCGAATCGTTTCCGGAGCACGAAAGTTCCTCGAAAGAACCTCGGAGCACGGTTCAACAGTTTAGAAAATAGCGGAGGACCAAGCTGGAATTATTTGTTGGCGATATCGACGATCGTTCGAAACAAACAGAAGCGACGCGCGCGTTACATTTACAGTGTAAAAAACACTGGAGCGTCGAGGCGACAGAGGGAATAGTTAGTATTTGATGAGCAGCGGGTGACAACGGGCGGGACGATTACATCGATTTCCCAGTGAATGAGGATCGCTCGATCAACACAAAACACAGACCCGCGACAAGGGGACGAGTGACACTAATTAATGGTTTCGGCATCGATTAATGATCGGCGCCGGAGGGGGGTCGGGACACGGGGCTCGGGGCTCGGGGCGCGAGGCTCGGGGATCGGGGGTCCGGGTCCGTGTCCGTGCTTCATTAGCGAGAATCAGTTTTTAATGAGCATCATGACCTCGGTAAACCGCTCCTCGCTCGAGTCGAGAGCTCTCCCTCTCTCTTTCTCTCTCTTTCTCTCTCGTCCCCATTTTTCCCGCGCGGATCGCGTGTGCCGATATTTAAAAGCCCGGGAACGGGACACGCTGGAAAACTTCGGTCGGAAAATTCTCGCCGCACGGTCATTATCCGCGTAAACATTCGAAAATGATTCGCGGGCCGATAACGAACGATCCCGGCCCCGGCCCGGGGAATCGTAACCGTAAACGGAGAATAATATTCAACGGCGGTCGCAGGACGCGGCGTCGTAATTTAATTGAATTTAATATAGCCAGGTTCGAAAACAGGTCTCGCGTCTCCCCATTCACCGTTTTCCGTTGCCGCTCCGTCGAAACGGTCCACGGCGATCGATCGATCCCCGGCCGCGTTTCGCTTTGATCCGCGAGATCAACCTGTGGAACACGTGCCGCGTTCTTTTCCACGAGCGCCCGCAGGCCGGGCGCGCGTTAAACCGTTCGAAATATCTAGGCGCGAGCTGGCGCGATCGTACAAACAGCCCGTGGATCGGAGCCGACCGTGGGCATAATAACGAGGCTAATGGAAACGCAATCCGAAACACGTGTCGTTGAAGGAAACCCGGTCCGGTCCGGTCCGGCCCGACCCGGCCCGGTCCGCCGCGGACCAGTCCGGACCAAAGCGGAACGCGATCACGCGCCGCAGCCTCGATTCATCGAAAAACCGCATTCCGCGGGGATCGATTATCGCGGCGGAACCAGACCGACGACCAGCTCGCGAACGACACACGGAAAACACCAGGGACGAGCGACGGAGGGGAAGAAAACGCGGCGGGCCGCGGAATCGGCTTGTCCGACCACCGACAGTCTCATTCCCCTTGCACTCGCGCGGCCGCTTCGCGAATTATCCTGCTCTCTTCCCTCTGCCGCTTCTGCTAGGAAAAATTCGACAAAGGCATCTCGTGTACCTTTCGCTAGATTTCGGTACACCTTGCAGTCAAAGAAACGACACAGGATTTTGAGTTTTCAGGGGGAAAAGTGAGACGGATTTCTCGATCAGCGAGCCTGCTGTTGTTGGAAATCGTGCAGATATTTTGCTAACCGAACGATTCTAGAATTTGTTGTTACCGCGAGCAATGTTTGTTGCGCCGTTTAAACGCGTTCCTTTACTCGTATCTCAAGTCTCGAATGGATTTTTG